ATTATTATTATTATTATTATTATTATTATTATTATTATTATTATTATTATTATTATTATTATGTTTAAATTAATACACTTGATTGTGAAATTAAAATAGTAATTTCAAGTACGAAATTTTGCAGAAAATGTATTTACTAGCTCAATCTCGAAGTTACTTTTAGGAACGATTGAGTCCGAAGAATCAATGTCAGCTCCAGAAGAAACTTGTCTCACCCCGTTCTCGGCTCTGAATGTTTCTTACTACGCACGATGAGAGGGTGGGATTTTACGGTCACAGGAAATTTATGTGAAGAACGTATTCAGACGAGGAATAGGTTTAGGCGAATGGGGAAAGGAATAATCGCCGAAAGTATTTATAGTATTTGGATATATCTGTTTGAGCAGATGTAATCGGTTATTTTGTAATCGTTTTGAGTGATGTAGTCTGAAATCTATGGGTGCCACGAAAACTCTTTTACAAAATCCTGGTATAGGAGGAAAAAAATCTGAGGAAAAAAAATCCACAACTGCCTCTCATGGAGTTTATACTTCAGTAATATGGATTGTGTGGTTCAAAAATAAAATGACGGATCATGACTCTTTAAAAAGTCGCCAAATGATACTTTTTTACTATCGTTACTTCAATAAAATGGCGTAAGAGTTCAATAATACAAACCTTGTTCGCAAATAATTTCATTCTAATTTTTGGAATCAGAGCAGTTGAATTGTTGACAAAAACAGGTAGTATCAATGTAAATGAAGTTACAATTTTGAAGAAAGGAATTAACGAGTCTACTCAAACTGAATATTCCAGTTGAATTTAAAACACTAATTCCATTCACCAGGGAATCTGTTGTTTACCTGAGTCAGCAACATTTACCCTCAAAATATTGTGGGTGAGCGGTATTTTAATACTTATTTAGAAATTATTTTATTTGATGAAGCATAGGTTTTGAACAAATAAAATATTTTATTTTTTACTGATACGTTATTACTTGTTATTGTCTTGAATTCGGAGACCGATATTCATTGGATACTTTATCTGAATCGAGAGGAGTATCATTACGAGGGAAATACGAAAACGGTTGAATGGTTCTACACGTTCTCTTATGGACGAAATTATGAAAGGGAATTATGAGAGGGAAATATGAAAAGACAAAACGAGGCAAGTTAACATGTAGTTCATTAATAAATAAGTAAATCTGAATTATTAAAAATTAAATAAAATCTTGCATGTACCATGGGCGTTAAGTGGTTCTAATGATATCGGGCAACACATCGACCTTGGGCCAAAGGCCTCAAGCTTTTAGTCACCCCTCGATCATTTGAACCCTTACAACGACCTTGGAGAAATACTTATTTCTACCTATAACTATTTCACACCCTAGTTATTTTGAAGTTGTATTATAAGTACTCTCACATTCCTGTAAATAAGTACATAAGTACATTTTGTACATTCACATTCTGAAAGAAATAATGACAATCCATGATACATTCAAAATACGTAACGTTACAATTGCATGACCCTACTTTTCTTTTTTCCCTTTATTAAACGAAAAAGAAAAATGTTTGTAAAATTTTGTAGATCAAGAATTTCTGCGGGCTTCACTGATCTAATCTTTTTGCGGATAATGGCAATACACCATCAACGTCCTTCTCGTAATCGTTAACAAGAAAAATGAAAGGAAAATAACTTTCGTCTTAGTTATTTCAAAGACACAGCATTATTTCCAGCCCGAAAGTACTTGTGAATGGCAGAGCCGAACGTTCTCGTCGTCTCGCGCGTTTGCGCGCTGCGGGGCCTGTTATGTCACAAGATGGCCGCGAGGGAGCCAGGGGACTCACCGGTGACTGTGAGCGCCGCTGGCGCGCTCTTGCGGCGGTCGCCGGTGAGGGCGTGCAGGGTGTGGCAGCTGTACCGCGGGACGCCGTCCTCAGGCTTGGCCCCGCGTATGTGCAGGTCCCCGCTCGACGTCACCACGTACCGACTGCCTGGAACACAACGCCTCCGGTCAAGCAGGCGTGATCCTAAGGTACGTGACCACACACGACAAAGCAATTGCAGTCTCGTAAATATCTCACTCTTTGAAAACGGAAAGGAACATTTTAAGAACATATAAGATAAGATTTGTTGCAAATAAGAATTTAGTTTAAAATTACTATCACAAAAATAACGTTGGTTGAATCATATACCTTAAGTGATAATTTATAACCTAATGTAATTTATTATAACATTGTGCCCATGTCATTTACTTAAAATAAAATAATCTTCACCAAAAAAAAGGCATTCGTTAGTGAATTTAAAAATTATGCTGTAATGTATTGTAATGTTTTTAATGTTGAACACATTAAAAACATTACGATAAACCGTTAACAAATATTTATGGAAACTATTCAGCAATCCCTTTATCTTTAGAGGATATAGAATATTAAATTAATTAGAGTGTGTACTTTTTACGCCATTCGATAATAAGTGTTAAGATTGACAAAATATTCCTCTATTGAAAATGTGGAAGTATCTCAAAATAAGCTAAGTACTATATTAAGTAAGACTATTGAATAAAGGATATAACTTCCAATTGATGCTGAATATTTTATTCGGATATATTTTTCATTAACTGCATCCTCTTCGAAACAAAGTCATTGGATTTTAATCTCTCGCTTTTAAGCATCGCTGCGATAATTAAAATTAATTGAAAATTCTTTCTATAGTATCATCTATTCTGAATGAAAATTGAAAGTTACTGAATAAAAATGATCTAAATACGATCTTTTTCTGCTGTTATATTCAATACATATATGAAGGATTTAATTACACTCCAAAACGAGAGCATATGACGTCATCAAAAGAGTGTGCCTCAAATAAAAGAGGGTTATGAGAAAAATTAAAGTATACATAATAATTATTAATTTTTAATATTTTTCTTATAATTGTAAGTTCGGGAAAAGTAAAGGTTTTGGAAAATTTGTGTTTAACATCAGAATTAAATATTTCTTGAAGACATACAGAACATGCAGTATTAAATATTATTAAACATACAACTTCTATAATTATAGAGCTCACGATGATAATAGTTTTCACCGTGTAAACACCTGTCTAAGATTGCCTCATGGTAGTATTGTTATGGAAAGGCTATTATTAACTTTGGCTCTTATAACATATTTTATAAACAAAAGCACATACTTTCTTCATTATTTATAACGGCTATAAGTGTTATAATACTACCTAAATCTGCAAAAGTGTTTCCAACTAGCAACATTTTTTTCCGTGCTGGGATTTAAATTCAGGTTCTTAGGCTTAGAACGCATTTTACGCGGTTACACCTCCAGTCTCACCGGTGAATACAAAATTCCTGATGCTTTAAATACAAAGTTGAACATTAGTATTAGTGATTTTCAAAAATTCGGAGATATTCATTCACATTATTTCAAAATCTAATTTCAATGAACAGATTTCATTAAGAAAACAATCTCCATCTTTAATATTGTAGTAATAGGACGACGTCCAAGATATTAAAATTTTTCTTCAAAAATACAGAGAATAAACGAAAATGGGTACTGCTCCGTGTGTTAGGACACGCAAGCTATTTATTTTACAAGCTTAATTATTAATCTTGAGGCATACACATCGATACAGTCCGGTTTTTGTACGAATTATTTTTATTAAAAAAACGTACGACTGTTTGTATCTATAACTCTTGTAAGCGGTCGTGGACCTGAGCGAGCAGGCAGTGTTATGTAGACATTTTTCAAAACCTTCCCCTGCCACACTCCGCCTGCCTGTTTCTCGGAGTTCGCCCGCGGCCACAGCCGCACGCGCCTTCACACGGCAGAATAACGTTGTCGCATGAGATAACAACTTTAACAAATTAACTACAAAATATGTATTATAAATTCTACAATTTAAATTATTTAACCATTTTATAATTCATTTTATCAATGAATGACAATTACTTTAGTTCCTGATTTACAATTCATTGTAAGACGCTTTCCTATTCGCTGAAGGCTCCAAAAGAGCCCCAGGCGACGAGCGACACAACCAGTGGTCGACAGAGGTTGTGAAGACAGGACGTGTGTTCCATGTCTCACAATTCCGTTAATTTGCAAAATGAATTCACTCCCAACGCCTCTACAACGAAGTGTTCTAGTAAACTGTTTAATATGTTTTTAGTGCAACGTGAACAATGTGACCTTATTGTGGGCAATATACATACGTGAACTTATGTACTTAAGTTATTTTATTAATGTAATGACTTGCCAAGACTGTCGTGTAAGTGTGTGTGGCAGAACTAGTTTCAATTCATACTATGTAACTACATACAACTGGTGCAATATGTAAACGGTGGTTCTGATAACAGTATGCACAGAATATATTTACTGCATTCACTCCAGCTCATAATTGGTTATTTTATATTGCACGGTGTATGCTATTAGTTATGTGTTTTATTAAGCTCAGCTTCATGTACATTAGTTCCTTACGTGAGCTACCCTATGACCGAAACGTTGGCAAACTACTTTGTCCGAGCGTGTGAATGTTGACGGTTCGTGGGCGAACTCCATGCGAACGTGTGTGTGTGTGTGTGTGTGTGTGTGTGTGTGCGCGCGCGCGCGCGTGACCCAGCCCTACCATGCAACCATCAGGTCGGAAGCGCACCGTGACAGCGATCTCAGAAGATTTAGATCACCCCTGTTGTGTTCTATTATTTCTTTCCATAGGCACATCCTAACAATCTACGAATACCGTGATCCACAATTTCTTGCGAACTTGCAATGGTTATTAATTGATTCATAATTATGCGCTACAAGACTCGCCATGTCCTTTTGCACAACTGATTCAGTAATTCATACCATAATTTGCTCATCAACGCCTTGTGATGTTCATTTTCCGATTCAAATATATGTACTAATTTCAATGATGTCATTTATTCCTGAGTGATGGTTATATCCCCAAATAATTAGCTTTCAGCCATACGAGTATCATAGCTCCCTCTGTGGGTGGTCCTGTGTACAGGAAAGAAAATAAGTTAGAGAAGAATGACGGGGATTGTTACGCCAAAAGGTCACACCTGACAATTAACAGTCTGTTGCTGCAGATCACCTCCGTCACCATGTTTATAAGCGTTCTTGTTCTATTCGAGAAACAATTTAAAAAATGGCTTTGATTTCACGAAAAAAAATTGTTAAACTACTATTTTTCAAAAAATTGTATCTATTATTTAGAACTACCTTAACAAGGAAACTAATGATGCTAGAGAACGCCATAGAATTTCTCGTACAACTTAATTTACTGGAAGGGGTGGCTCAAGACATCAAATGCTGTCACTGCAGGGCCTCTGATCGTTGGGGTCCTAGGCTCGAGTCGCGACGGTGACAAGGTTTTCGACACTAGCTTGTTAGCTCATTCGAATTCAATAGCTGTCTAGAGGGGCATTCAAGCGGCCGACTACCCTGATGTGTCGATGTGTCAGAGAAAATGGGCATGGAAAATGTTTAGTATATTTATTTATATTCAATAATATTTTTCGGTCCACCTGCTATTCTACCTCGCAGTCATTTTTCAATGTCAAGCTTAATGCCACCTTAGAGATAATCTTGCGGTGTAAGAAAAAATGGATATCTCTGGGGGGCGAGTTCCGTACTGTAGGATGGATAGTGTAACGTAGCGGGTTATAATTGTCATTTGTCTCCATCTGTCAATGGGGTATCGTGTTAGAAGACGCTGGATAAACAAGCTGAACGCTTCGTTAGGTTGTGGAGACTACATAGAGGGCTTCTCGATTCGAGGATTTACCCATGATTTGCCAAATATATTAGCAGTGATAAATTCATAGTATTTAGAAGTTATCAAGATATAGATATAATTTATGAATCTGTAAGATGGAAGTCTTACAATTAAGTTGTTAATTGTATTGTGGAAAAAAGTCTATTGTTTCTAATGAGAACAAGCGATCGATGGGTCGATGACGTATCTGTGACTGACGATTGAGTCGTTACAATGGTAAACACCTCCCTGCCAAACTGCTACAGGACGTGAAGCTGAGGGATATCAATGAACTGAGCAGGGTGAGGCCGATCATATGATCATGACGAAGAGTTGCAGGAAGCTGTTGAACACTGGAATTATCCCTAGCGCAATACTTCTGTGAGAACACATGTTGATCCTCGGTGGTAGAAATGTACAAGTTTTGATGGTGATTTCGCGAAAATATAGTGTGAACGTTGCTGTTTCTGCTGCAATAAAGTTTTCTATGATAATGTGCTTACTTTTATTGACGTTTGTTAGGGAAACTCACATACTGGATGCACGTCGTGTGTAGTATGTGGCGAAAGCATTTACTGCAGAATACATCAAAGGTAATTCTTAAGGAGTTGAATGTAATTGTGGACATGTAGGAATAAAACGCGAACATCTCTCATTTAATATCCATGGCAACTGATAGATACGGCAGATTCCAAACAAAGGACGAGTTATTTCCGAACATTGAAACCGTTATTTTGTCAGACGAGAGAAAATTGATCTTGTTTCGCCGGAAGCTTCTGCAGGCTGTCTCTGAAGGAATGCTAGGCGGCGGGGTGTTAGTAACGCGGAACGCAGGGTGAGAGGGGTGGGCGAGAGGGCGGGGGAGGGCAGGCACGTGACGTGGGGCAGCGATGGGCATTGCGCGGCAGTGGCTGCCCGAAGCGCCCTTCCGGCGAAGGCCACAGCGAAACGTCACGTCCTTCGCCTAACAC